AAATATTGGCACCATTGCCTTCATATCATTGTGACGAACCAAAAAAAAAGTATTATCAGCCTCAGGGGTACATAGGTCAATTTACATCCAGGACATATAATCTATCAGAAATAATCAGGACAGTCAAACGCCCAGCTTATTTAGACAGCAGATTCTCCAGATCGTGGCTTATCAGATAAGCCTACTCAGCTTATAAGCAAGACTCATAAAAGCTGAAACAAACAGGACCATAAGTGTGAGGTATGCTGGTCATCAAGGAAACTTTGGGAGACTTTACACAAATTAGGACAACACAGTGGTGTGGATCCATGATAGACCACGATCACGTATTCTTGGACACCTGCGCGCACCTAGCAGCATCACCATGTGGCTAGCACACATAGGGGACTCCAGTGACTGTCGCGGCACCAAGGTCAGTGATCACAATATCATAACAGAGCACACCAAAATAGCACATCCCAAGTCCCAGCTTTAGGTAGTAGGCGACAGTGTCATACCAAGCACCCTAGGGTAAAATCTCTCCTGAGGTATATTGATGAAAGAGTATGAATCTTAGTCATTCAAGACGTGTTATTAACAACGTGGACATGACCGATGGGCCCGATCGTTTCGCTGAAAAAACAAGCCGAAACACTGTTCCGACTGATTTGTTGTGAGAGAAAAACACTGTTTCGACTGAAAAAGACGGATTATAAGAGAAACGAACATGACCATTATGGTGCAGCTATTAACGACGTGGACATGACCACATATTATGGTGCAGCCATTAGTGGACCATGCATTTAATTAAAAAATAGTATAAGAAGTGGCATTTTTAAGGTGAAAATAGGGAAGTAGAACTCCCAGGATGTAAATTAGTAAATTATGTTTCTACGTTCCTACTATTGCACTAAATTGTGTTTTATTATACATTAGAACAATAGAAGTGTTTTATTATACATTAGAACAATTGAAAAATGTCAATTTTATTGTTTTTTTAGAATTATACAGTACAACGTTGATGTCCGCAACATGTACGCACACTCATCCTTATAAACACACGTACGCAAACTCTACCCCTATAAACACATCCGAAGGACTGAGTCAGTAGATATCAAGATTCATGAAGTCATCACAGACGCCTCGTTATCGAGGGAGACGTCGTCTACCACTGAAAACATAATCCTACCACTAAAAACATAACGCCGTTAAATTTCTAAAATAAATCCAAAAAAATACGAGCATCCGTACTAAGTTGAGAACTTGAACCTGAGCGCACAGGTTCCATCACAGAAAACCCAACCTTAATTGTGTTCCTTCCACTATAACTTGCATTGATTTGAGTGATCATTAGGAGGCGAGAAATACTGGTACATGAATGGGCGTTCTGATCTCCCAACGGATCTTGGTATAGTAGTATCGTGATCGAGCGGATGGACGGTCGTGGTTTAGACGTTGATGCTACTGTTTGCATAGACGTTGATGCTACTGTTTGCATATGCACATGCAGGACAAATTTAAACGAATAACCATATCTCAGCACGCGGTGCAGCTGAGGCAGCAAACTTTTATTTTTCTTGGCCCTTACTAATTCCAGAATATCACTTGTGATTTTGTGGAGATGATTGCGTGCGTGCGTGCTTCAGAGTATTTCCCTCTATTCCAAAATAAAAGTCGTTCTCGTTTTTCGAAAACTCAATTTTTTTTAAACTTTGCTCAATTATATATAAAAAAATATTAATATTTATAATACACGATTAGTATCGTTAGATAGATCGTTAAATATATTTTTATAATATTTTTTTAGAGATATAAATATTACATATATTTTTTACAAAGCTAGTTAAAGTTAAAAAAATTTGATCCGAACGCATCTATAACGACTTTTATCATGGGATGGAAGGAGTAACAATCTCCCCGTCAAAAGAAAGTACAGCTACGATATGACATGCCTATCAGACTCTATCCATTTTACGGTTGCAATCCAAAACCACAAAAATCATGCTACATAGCAGAGCATCGAATTTCAGTGCCTAGAAGCATAAATTTCCAGTACCTTTATCCTCTGGTTTAATTTGGTGGTAGCACATGTTTAATTTACTTGTACCTCACAATTCACAAAGATCATCAAAAAGTTGTTTCCGATCGAAGTGCATGTCGTAATTTTATTTTTGTTTTTTTGCCATGACCTAGTAAGCCTGTTTGGTAGGGTCCCTCCTCAACTCGGACTCTGGCTACTGTGGAGGAGCCCTGCCAAATGTTTATTTGAAAGAGCTTTTTTTAAAAGTAAAAGCAGAGGAGTTGAAGCTGTTTTAAAGGAACCACAAATTATGGCTTCTTTAAAAGAGTTCTGACTCCTCTGGAGAGGCCCTGAAGGTAGCCGTGCCAAACACCCCTCGGATATACGGGAAAAAATGGATGGGCCGCGTGTTTGTCTCCTGATTTTCCAACGGACCTTCGTGATCCCGTGGTAGAGCGACCGGACGGTCCGTTGTGGCGGGAACGTTCGCTAGCTACTGTTTGCACGTGCAGGACAAAGAACTATCCCACAGCACGCGGTGTGCAGTATTTTTCTTTTCTTTTCCCCAAGATTCCGTTTCGTATATTTGATGATGATGATTCGACAGTGACATGGTTGAGTGTACGTGTGTACAACCGTTGCAGGTTGCACGCATCTATCATCTTTTGTTTCATCAGAGTGATTGTGACCGGCCATTGGATCGTACTACCTAAGATGTATACTTGGGGAGTGCTCGATTAGTCGATTGGGTATGTTTGTCGGAAAGTTCAACGTTATTTTCATTGTAATAAAAAAGCACAAATCTGATAGGAGAGCCATCGATTGTATTAAAAAGAAAAGATGCAGCTAGCTGCTCCTATGACTCTGAGCTGTGGCTTTGATATGCGCCCGCAGCTCTCGTATCGTATATTCGTATCATTGAGGATGTCGACCAGATCAGTGCACCGTCGTCGTCTCAACTCTCGAGAGGAGATCGGGGGCGACTGACTGTAGCAAATGAAAGAAAACCGTGATCAGTCATCAGAGGACGGATGCTCGGGGCTCCGCCTCTTCCTCGCTGGCTGGCTCCCTTCCATTCCAGCTCGCAGATCTCCGTGCGGTTGTCCGGTCCCGCTGGATCGGGCTCGGGCTCGGCTCAGATCTGTGTCGTCGGCTACCACTACACTACCAGCGTCCAGCGGCAATTTGGCCTTTGGGTGCCCTCCTTGTCGTCCTTGTCCTTGGCCAGTTGGCCAGGCCATGTGGTGCATGTCCAGCCCAGGCGCGAGAACATGCAGCGTGGAGCGTGGTACGGCGGCACCGTGCGGAAACAGTTGGCCAGGCCTCCTCCACTCCAAGGTAGGTGGTTTTATTGGCTGCTGATCCATCGGATCGGAGCGGGCCGCCGGCCGGGGGTCTGCAGTTGATCGGCCGTGGTGGAATATGCCGTGCGCTGCTGCATCACGCTTCACGCGTGCGTGCGCCTCGCGGTGTGCTTCTGCTACCTCCCCGTTGGCTGCTGATGGTTCTCCTGTCGCCATCTCTGCTTCTCCTTGCCCGGGCCGGGCGTACGCGTTGCTGAGTACTCACGTAATACATGATGCCGATCTGTAATTCTGCATGTGCCTTGGCTCACGAGCGGTCCACCTGACTCCTCTACTACTACTATACTGGTGTATATTAGCTCAATTAATGATTCGTGCAGCTCGTGTCCTTTTTCATCCCTATAATACTCCTTTTTCGTAAGGGTAGCACAAGTGCACTCCATGTATCGTGTCGGTTGCCAGGAACAGATCTACTGGCAATGCTCAGCGGATCCTATCCTGCATAGTGCATACTCAAACTCTGAACGGAACAGCCGACCGCTGCTTTCTCAAGGCAAGGGACGCAGGCAGGAAAAGGGCAGTTTTGTTCTCGTCCGGAAACTTCTTTGTGCCCGGCGGCCGGCGCCACAGCAACTTGCAAAGTCAGCTCACCGACGGACTGAGCCTTTGAAAATGGATGGATTCCTTCTCCCTTTTGGCTATGACCGACGGGGAGAACGGACTGGCGGACGGCGGCGGAGACGTCACTGCATCCGACCCGACCGGCTGCTATCCTACCAACCAACTACATCACGCACCAACCTCTGCAACAGCAATGCAAACTTCAGTAGTAGTCCATTCGTTCGTTCCAAATTACAAGTCGTTCTGGCTTTTTCATCTAAATAAACGTAGTATATATCTAGACGTATAGCAAAGCTTTAAAATATATATAGATAGATAGATAGATATTATATATCTAGACATATAGCAAAGCTATCTATCTACTATAAAAGGCTCAACATGTTACTTGAAGGCAGCGTACATAAAAAAAAGCCTGGATGCCTGATCTCATCTTGGGCCTTGGCGAACCAAACGCCACGCCCCTCACTTTAGATGCTGCCATTTGATCAAGACGTCTGAACACACACTGGTTTTTGTGACTGATAAACCGACTGATGTTGTTTTGTTGTGAGAGAAAAATACTATACCATAAATGATAAGTTAAAGCAAACATGACGTAGTTCCTGCACATGCACCGCTCAAAGCGCCGAATGCAATCATGTGTGTGACGATGCAGGATTGCAAGATAATAGATAAACACAAATATCTAGCGACAGGGACAGCCACATAACAAGCAGCCTCCCGCAACTCTCAAGTCCCAACCACACAACTGCTAGCGACCTCTTATACGAGAAAATAATAAAGAGAAAAAGATCAGCAACCCAGCCTCCAGATCCTGGGCCTACATTTGCCATTTGTAGTTATCAACAACACTTGTAGTATATCAAGTAACTCGCTCTTTAGTTGCATAAAAAGAAAAGTAACTCGCTCTTTAGTTGCAAAAAAAAGTAACTCGCTCTTTAGTCGAAAGTACCCTGTCAACCACAGAACAGCAGGTCCTAGACGTTGAATATAAACCACAAATCGCAACCACACAGGGTCTAGCTGGCCCACAAGTCACTATCAGAAGAAGAAAACACATGCCATTCAGCGACAAATTAGTTCATGGTGAGGGCTCCATCACCATCAATTACAAGAAAGCAACCTCCCACAATATCATGGGCACGATAAAAAAGCACATGTAATCCAGAACTGAAACCCCACACTTGGTATATTCCCTCTAACTCAGGCACTTTCAGTTTTCTGAAATGTATTGTGTCAAGACTGAATAGTGAAGACAGTCATGGCATCGCACCGTGAAGCGTTAAGAACACTGGACTATTATTTCCACCGTTTCTAACTTTCTATGGGGTCTACACGATGTGTAAGATGGCAAAGTGCTTAGCCAGAGCAAAGCACTGTTCTGATGAGTCGCGATGCATTCAAATTTACATGCTACTTGGCTCCCACCAAGAAAAAGGTGGGACCCATTTCTAATGCCCCCAACAGCTTGAGTGAGCAGAGGATCCAATTCTTGTACTACACAGCAGTGTAGCCTGTTCAAATTTGAACTTGTTCAACCATGAGTAGTGTTTAGAAGCCTAACAGAGTGATTCTGTGTTGAAGACACACACTTGACGCCTGGAGTGGTATCACCTGCAAGAAGTGCCAAGTGGGTACCAGTTATTTCATCGCGATCTTGTAAATCAAAAGATGTTATGAAACAAAATAGCTAGAGCACACATGGAGTCCAAGCAAACGGAATTATCTCGAGACATACCCTATGGTGGGGTTGATTCAACGATCAAGATCTTGTATGAGATGCATGCACAAAAATGAAACTGCAACTTAAAGCTCCTTGCAAATTCTAATAATGTTCTGAAATGGTGCATGGCAAGGGCATATGCTAACTTACAAAAAGATAGCAAGGAATTAATTTTCTCAAATACGCATGAGCGCTGCGTATCATTGCATTAAGAGACAAGGAATTGGAATTATCACCAAAACTTGACAAGTTTTTCTCCGTTTTAACTATTGGACCACGATGGAAAGAAGATTACTCTGGAATTTTTCTCCTTTAGACCGAATTAGAAGGTTGACAAAAAGAACTTGGAAAAGGCCTCCAAACAAAATATTGCAATTAAGAGGAACAAACAATGTTACCTTTTCAGCCACTTTGGTCTGCCAGGCTTCTTATTTGTTGTTGGTACAGGATCAGATTGAGATGTACCAGATTGAAGAGTAGAAGAGTTCATTCTAGAATCATCAGGTTGACTAGCAGGTTTCAGCAGAAGTGACAATCCATCCAAACTTTGAATTTCTTCATGGAGAAAGGGTCCTGCTTTTAGATCATCTGCATTTAACAACGAACCTGCATGCCCAAAGCATTTGATACCACTCATTACAAAAAGTCATGAATATCTGAATGTCTAACAAAGTGACAACCATGAAACTTTTGTATAATAACAGGGTTGAAATAAATAATTTGCATGTGTGTTGGGTGGGTGGGTTTGGGTCGTAGTGTTGTTTTTCTTTGTTTCGTGTGCATGTGGATGGGGTGGGGAGAAAGGCATGGCACTGGAATTGACTTGACACTAGTTATTCGAAACATACAGCTGAGAGGTAATTATTGTTTCTTTTCTCAACTTGGCACTAGCTATTATGATGATGCATACCTTCAGGCAGATCATAAGAAAAATGAACATTAGCTCCAGGGACAAAACCAGCTGTATAGAAGTCCTGTGATGTGTCCAGTATTCGCTTCTTTGGAGGTACTGTATCTGTTGGGGAATTGAAGGGGTCCAGCATTAAAAAATTGAAAACAGTACAGGTTTAAGATATGAGTATGCAAAGAAAGTCAAATGCGCACCAAGTAACACCAAAGATCACAACGATTATCAGACTATAGATTTCAGAACTTCAGTCCAAGGAACATTTGGCATACAAGTTCAATGGTTCATGTTTTATCTAGAAATACTGAAATAGGCACTATGATAATCATAAGCTGCTGCTGTTCAAATTTTAGGGCATAATCTCTTTTCATTGAAAATTATTGTGGTCCAGAATAGGCACCAAACTGCCAGAAGAAAGTAAAATGAGAAGAGACTTCCCATTTCTTACTATTCTATAGAGTATAGACTTTATGAATCAGTGTTCAGGGGTTCTACACTTCTACAATCTGGCATGAGTAGGTTCTAGGCGTGTTACTGTTTATGCAAACAGTAACCTAGCCTTGTAGCCATGGGGCTGATTGTTATCTTTAGCTATTTATTAGGAATTATAAGATTTGATAGCAAGTAAGGATATCAGTTTTGTTAGGGGTTACTCCCTCCGGGCTGTTCTCTAAGGCGCATGTGTGAGGGGAGTTAATATGAGGCTGCAATATTCAAGCATGCATGCATGCAGATTTGGAAACTCAGCGCTAGAGTTAATCTCACCTTGGTATGTGGAGTAAGGGCCATGATGCCTTAGAAACCTGCCTGGATGGAGTAGTTAGCAATAGAGATAAGATTAGTTTTGATCTGTTAGGGACTTAGGGTCATGCCTAGTAGCTCTATAAAAGGAGCAGCCGGCAACCATTATGGGTAAGCAAGAATAGCAATCTATTAGGGTTAGTCCCATTCGCCTATCAGTCTATCACTGATCTTGCAGTGCAGCTGCTGCCAATCGGTGAGGTCGACTGCTTGGGTTAGGCCGTTAGGGCCATTTAGATCAAGGTTCGTGGCAATTGGTATCAGATTGTCTGTAGCGGTTAATAATAATTGCATCATAATGGAAAAAGGGGTTAATAGCAGCTAATATCGACTCTAAAACCCTTTGCACAAGATGATGCATTAAAAGGTTTTTCAAATTTCGTAACCGTGAAACTATTTATGTCAGCTAGTTGTTTCCCTAAATGATGACTCCCAGCATGTTTGTTTGCCAAGAATAAAAGGGCGTACCCAGTGCAGAGAGCTCCCGCTCTGTGCAGGGTTTGGGGAAGGGTGTCGGTGGCAAGCCTTACCCTCGCCTATGCAATGTGAGGAAACCGCGACTCGAACCCGGGACTTACCGGTCACTGGCAGTAAGACTCTACCGCTTGCACCAGGGCTACCCTTCTTTGTTTGCCAAGAATAAATATAAGAAAATCTAATTGACAAATCATAGCAATTCATAGCCAGAATAAATTATTGCAATGGTAAAATACAAAGGAACGATGAAGGGTGAAAGAGGACAGGAGAAGCACAGGTAAACTCCACATCTATCACCCCTAAGAGAGAAGCAGAACTTTTTTTTCTCGAAGCTGCATATCATTTCATTAAGAAGAATTATAAAGTACAACACACACACCCCTTAACTATCAGTTACATTCGTGCCTAAGAGAGAAGCAGAACTTACAAAGATAGAACGGCAGATCTGGTCTAGCAAGTACTTTCGTAAGCAGGTCCACTAGACTATGAATCGTCTCTGATGGAAGAAAGTCAGCCTCAATAATGTAGCCATCAGGGAATCGCACCCTCATTACTGCCTAAAATCAAGGCGGTTACTCCATTAAAAACAAGTAGTTTAGAACTCATAATAACGTAACTCCATTAAAAAAACTCATTAGGTTAAGAATGAGACAAATTCCTTTAAAACAGGCAGTTAGACCTACATAATATTATGCTGTATTTTCTTTTCTTAGGACAATTTCACGTGCTATAAATTAATTAACGCATATATTTATGTGAAATAAGAAAAATCTGCTCTTCAACATTTCTTAAGGCGCTGCTCTACGAGTCACACAGAAAGTAACAAAAGAACTAGTAACAACAATTGCCATCTTCAAATTGTTTCTTTGTATGAAGGACTGGACGAAGAAGTGTTGCACATTGATCAATTGTAAGAAAATTCAATAGTGCATTATAACCCTACCTTTGTTCTCTTTGCTCGTTGAGCAGCAAGTTCTGCCTCCCGCATCTTGCGAGTCTTTAGCATTTTAGAGTGCTCTGCACAAAGTCATCATTTTTAACAGTGCTACAGTAGTACATCAGAACGCAAAATAATAATGGGTTGATCAATATTAAACTAAGTTGACACTAAATAACTTAAAAGATCCCAAACAAAATTTTCTACCTCCCATCCTGTTTGAAATCAACTTGTAGTAATCAGCAGGCTGAAGCTCATAAAAGTCGTCATCTTCCTCTGCAAGAACAATCTTTCGATGTCACAGTAGAACTAGCATAAAGACAAGACAGATTTGGTAAAGACAAAAGAAGATGACATTTAGGTACCATGATCTGCATTAGGCAGCTTGCTGGGTTCTAGAGCAAAGTTCTCACTTGAAAAAACCCGGATCTCATGTCCAAGTTCCTCTGACACCGCTTTCAGCTTGTCCTGGGATTTTCAAAAGAAAACACATTTTCGGGCTTTGTCACATCTACCTATCCGGCCGGTGGAGAATTCAGAATACGAAGGTTTGATCAAAAAAAAGAAAAGAAAAGAAAGTATCATCATTACTACAAAAAAAAAAAACCCTACCAGGAAACAATTCAAAATTGTAATTTTGAGAATGTCGCAGGACCTGCGAAGCACTCATTGCATGTGTCGATTCCCCAGATGGCCAAGTCAGAAAAGAACCTATTTTACACGCACAAATTCGGGAACCAGACGCGCACCAAGAACTCAAGAACTGGGCTCCCTAAACCCTCTAGAAGAATGCGAGAGCCTTAAAGAACTATCCCCATTCCCGAAACCCACACAGAGAAGAACAAGTCCTCGCTCATCCCCACCCCAGCCAAGAACCTGAGCACAGTACACAACCTCCCCTCCAGACCCTAGGGCCGGCGCGAACCCGAAATTCTCCAAGAACCCTGCCCAAGAAACTGCGCACGGCACCAAGAACCGAAACTACCGGGAGCCAGCGTCCGCTCCCATCCGTCCAGCGGCGACGCGGACCCAATCGACACGCAATCGCGCAAGAAGCGCGTGAGCGCGCGGCGGGGAAGCGGTGACCGGGGAGGAGATGGGAGCGCGTACGTACCGCGGCGCGCTGCGCGTCGGCGTCGAGATCCATGTCCGCCGCCGGCGAGAGGTCGTCGTCGCCCTCGCCCTCGTCCTCGTCCCTCTTCCTGCGTCTAGTCGCGCACGGCCAGAGGAGGGTGGTGGAGGAGGAGGAGGGGGGGCCCGCCTGCTGGTGGGGGTACTCTGCTTCCATCTTGGACGGGAAGGGAGAGGAAAGCGAGATGGGCGGGGGTAGGAGACGGGTTTCGGGCTGCGGGTCGGGCTCGGACTCCGGATTCGATGCGCTGAGACGACGACGGGGATGTCGACCAGATCAGTGCACCGTCGTCGTCTCAACTCTCGAGATGAGATGGGATGAGATGAGACGGGGAGAGAGGGCCACCATTTTTTATACTGCTCGCCGGCCTCAACGGCTCTAAACATATTTTGGGCCGAGCCTTTATTGGTGTCGTCAGCCCAGACGTATGTTTAGGCCCAGTGATGTACAAGCCGCTAGCTGAAGTGCTGAATTTGCTAAAAAATAAAAAAAAATTGAGATAAAAAAAAACCTGAAGTGCTGAAGGGTTTCTATCTTTCTGAATTCAGACTTTTCATCAGTGTTTGATGAGAGAGCAGACGACGTCACGTACGGCAGGCAGATGATTTCGAATGTCGCAATCAGAGGACGGAACCGATAGTCATGTCAAGTTGTCAACTATAGAAGCCACGCAGACGGCAGCATGCTACAGTATTTTACAGCTACGGGCACAGCGAGGCTGACCTTAAATGGCAAGTTTTCGCAACAAGCCAACGAGTAAACGTAGATGGATGTTGCGCTCAGCCACTCACCGACAAGAACAAAATTGAGGCGTCTTAGGCGTTTACCTCTCTCAGAAAAAAAAAATCTACGGTTTCAGACAAAATTTTCCTTGCCCTCACCAACCGCAGTTCAAGGCTTGTTCGCTTGAACTTATCAGCCATACCTTTTTAGCAAAATAATAGTGTTTTTCTTTCGCAACAAATCAGCATCAGCATCAGCATCAGCCGTTTTTTTAGTCAGCCGAACAAGGGCCAAAAGAGCTTGGTAAAAGACCACCTTTTTCCTTGCCCTTTTAGCCATCAAGATTTAAATTCTACTGTTGCAGACAAAATTTGTGGAGCTGCGGGTAAGTGATTAACACATACTTCATCCATTTTTGAAATATAAGAGATTCAAGTGATTTTTCCATAAAACTAGCAGGTAACCCCGCGCGAAACAGTGGACGCTGTGAGAGGAAAAAGAGGAAAAGGGTGGTACTGTTCCTTATCGGGTCGGGTACTGTTCATCTGATCTGTACTGTTCATCTGCAGGGATCTGAGTCAGGAGGCGCTTCCGATGAACAGTAGCTGCGATGTGACCCGCCTCATATCTATAAAAGACTCTTTTATAGATAAAGAGCTTGGCAATAGACCATCGGCCTCTATCCTCCCCATTCATTTCAGAAGAAAATGGAGCGCGTGGAACTATGGTGGTAACAAGATGTAAACTACAAGGGCAAAATAATTGGTAAGGGTATCTAAGAAAAACTCGGCAAGTAGATAAAAGTGTCAAGAAATTGGATGTTTGGCGAGGAAGCTCTTTGTCCATTGCAGGTAGGACGACTCTGATTAGATCTAGCCTTAATAATGCTCCCATCTACCACATGTCCATTTACTTGCTCCCGAAAACAGTACTCAATAAGTTGGATAAACTTAGAAGGTTTTTTTCTGGCAAGGTGGGGGAACAAAACAAAGACTCGACCAAGGGGAGAGACGTCCCCCTGATTTTCGTCTTAAGAAGATGGTGCCGTGACTCGAACCCGGGCTGGCTCAACCAACCGCTTCTTTGGCGTGTCGTGCTGACCAGTTGTACCGTGAGAGTGTTGGCAAGGTGGGGGAACAAAACGAAAGTATCACCTTATTAAGTGGCCCAGGATATGTAAAAGCAAGAGGAAGGGGAGGTCTTGGTGTTAAGGACATCAAGAAAATGAATATCAGTTTGCTTTGTAAATGGTGGTGGAAACTAGATACAGAAGATGGACTATGGCAGCAGATCATTAGATTCAAATATCTTAAAAACAACTCAATTTGTTCTGTGAAACACAAACAAAATGACTCAGCTATCTGGGCTGATCTTCTAAAAGTCAAATATGTGTATTTACAAGGGAGGAAAATGGTGATTAGTGATGGCAGTAATACTCTGTTCTGGAAAGACAGTTGGTTGTATGATAAACCTCTGAATGTCCTGTTTCCTGATTTATTTAAACTTTGTGAAAAACAAAACATATCTGTACAACAAGTAAAATGTGACATTCAGTTGGTTTCTTTCACTAGATGGCTAGCTATCAATTTGCAGGATGACTGGTTGAAAAATTTGTCTGACTTGAATCTCATTAATAAATCAGATGGTAAAGATAAAGTCACATGGAAATTTGGTAAGAATGGTCGATTTAGTGTTAAATCTACATATGATGCTATGACTGTTAATGATTCTGGTTTATACAATAAGAGAATCTGGAAAAGTAAGGTGCCGAGTAAAATCAAGATATTTTTGTGGCTTATGCTTAATAATGTGATTTTGACAAAAGATAATATGGTCAAAAGGAAGTGGCAAGGAGATCCAGCTTGCTACTTTTGTACTCATAATGAATCTCTGTCTCACTAATTCTTCCAATGCAGCACAACTAAGGCTGTGTGGGCAATTATGGCAAAATGCTTTGGTGCAACTAATGTCCCCAGATCGTTTGATCAGTGCTGGAATTGGTGTGATAAATGGTTGCCTGCAGGAAAACAGTTTCATACTGTTGGGATTGCGGCAGTTTGTTTTGAAGGAAAACCTCTTTTGAATCCTATTGCTATCATTTGTCGTGCATGTGCCCTGATGAATTACTGGGCAGGCTTGTTCAAGGAAATCGACAAGGAGGCTTTGGAAGCTGGAGTAACTACAATGCTAAAGATCGCTGCGTCTCTGCTGGGCAAGAAGAGGAGCAGGGATGGACAACAGCTATTGAAGAATGATGACAGTGGCGACAAGAAGGAATGAGAAGCTCTTCTACTCAAGCTTTCAGGATATCTGGCCAAGTTGCTGGGAGGAAGCAATTTGCGTAGATAGCTTGTTTTTTGGGCAGCATACTGTTATGCCTAGGTGGCTTTTGCAGCGTCTTTATGCAGGTGCTAGTTGTGTTTGGCTGGAACTTGGTAGCCTTGCGTTGGTGATTGTAAGTCTGTCTTAGATACTGTGTCTGCTCTCTTTCTAAACTGTCTCGAAAACGCTGTATTTCCGTTAGCGATAATGGAAATAGGGTTACCTCTGATTCAAAAAAAAAAAAAACTCGGCAACAATTTGATAAGAATTACATAGAAAAAGTACTTTCTCACAGTTTGGTATTAGCCGATGCAATATCACTTATTCCCTCGGTCCTCAAAAAGAAGGACGTTTATCGATGCGTGCTGGTCAAACTTTCTCAACTTTGACTAGGTTTGTAGAAAATGCGTGCAACATTTGTATCTTTAAATAAGTTTATTATAAAAATATATTCAACGATCTATCCAATGATACTAAATATGTATTATGAATATTAATATTTCTTTATATATAATTGGTCAAAGTTAAAAAAATTGACTTTCTCGGAAAGTGAGTAACGACTTCTATTTTGGGACAGATGGAGAATGTTACTTGTAGCAAAAAAACCGACCATTTCACTTATCAATAAATTCCTTTGGACCTTTTTATCACTCCATTCTAGAGGAATGTCATGGAAAGAAGAAGGCAGGCGGGGTGATGTGGCAAGGCGACAAAACACCACCAGTTGTAGTGGTGCAATACTAAAAAAAAGATTTGATCTAGGGGAGAGATCTAGGGGAGAGACGTCCCCTTGACTTCAATCTTAAAGAAGGGGCCCACCGAACTCTGAACAGGTAGGAACCTCACGCGCGCAAGCTTCTTTGGTGATCACGGACCCATCTGCGTAGTTTCAACAGGGAGGTGGGCACCCTACCATGCAGCACCAGGGATCGAACTGCGGTGGAGCGATCCCTGTGGTGGAGAGCTCCGCACCTCGGGTGCTCCACATCATCACAAGAAATCCATCAAATCACTAAGCTCAAACATTAAATTGCATTTCTAGCAATGCACTTAGAAGACTGTGGCAAAACCGCCTAATCTAATGCCTCCCTGGAATACTTGTTTTTCATTAGACACTAAGTACTCAAGGGAGAACACTAAATCACGCAATTCTGTCGAGCACACCCCAAGGGAGAACCCGAAAATCCATATTTTTTCATCAGGATCACAAAGGAAAGAATAAAGCTTGCATCATTATTAACCATTTCTTACATCACTTTCCATGCAACATCAGAGTATAATATTTATTGTTTATAATAGCGGAATATGATCATGTTATCAGAGTTATGAACAATTTAATTTAACAGCAGAATATAAACATGTGATCAGAGTTACATCGAAAGTAAATATTTATTCATGACAGGATGAAGCATCGATATATAAACTATGACAACAGATTATAAAACTTCTATTCCTAAAATATTTAGTGAGGGTTATAAATAAAAACTATGATCGTAGCGTAAAGGAATTCTCTCTAAACTCACCAGGAGGGATCCACACACAAGAGTCAGCTCTCGCATCTGCCTGTCACCTGTAACAGGGGAGAATAAAACCCTGAGTACTCAATTGTACTCAGCAAGACTTACCCGATAAGAGAAAAAAGACTCCAAGGGTATGTAAGGCTATCTGACTTATGGGTTTATTGCATCTGCAAGAGCATTACTAAAAGTGCGTCCTTATATTTACTTTTATTAGCAGTCAACATTAGTTTATTAACTAACCATTCTATATAAGCACCTGTGCTACTTTCAAGCAGGTGGTAAGCAATCAGAATTATTTTACCATCTTTCATCTTTCAGTTCTTACTACGGTGCTATATTATAGACAAGTCGTACCGGATCACCCGGCGATTCGTGAATCAATGTGCCCAGCTGGGTACTCTGAAACACACGCCCCGCTTGTACCCTAGACACAAGAAAGACCAACCCACTACCCTCCTGTCACGGGATCCAGGTCCCCCTCTAAACTTGAACTCCAAGCATCCGCTCCTAAGTCCCGGACTCAGTGTGGTGCTTAGACCTCCACCATCTCCGCCTCCAATCAGTCAGTTCGGAAAGAGCCAGAACCCATGA